GGGTATAAAGTTTTATTGGGTTCACTATCGCGGGGCAGTACTGTACTCGATATCATGGATGGCGTGGGCACTGGCACGATCGGAGTGGCCTTGGCGTCGCTCTCTTGGTACGATGGGAGGTGTGGGCTTCGTAAACGAAATGAAGTCGTTTTTTCCTATGCATATGCACACAACCACTTTGTTCAGTGCGCATGAAGACGTACCGTTTGATAAGTTCTATATGTCGTGACGTGACGCCTCTGTGGTCGTGACGGATGCAGCTGCTGCCGTCACAGGGCACAGTGCAAGGCCAGGAGCTCGGGACGTTCGTTGTGCCACAGTGCCCAAAGAGCTGATGCGCGAATTGTCTACAAACGCGTTCAGTTATCCTGATCGGTTCTACGTCAACCGTCAGGTTTGTGTGCGCGCCAGCTCACGACGAGCTCCGTTTCACTTGGGCACTATCGTTCGATTGGTTGTTTGGGATCCTATTGAAGTACGGTGTTGACTCTGCCACATGATTTTATTGTTGAGCGGATTTACCTTGTTTTCAGTGTGGTCGTGTAATCAAAGTCTGTCATGGCAGCTGTAACGGGGCACAGCAGAGGAAGGTTGTGTTGAACAGAGCAATATGTTAACTGAATAGATAGCTGCCTCTAAACTAGTCTCCATGGTGCGCTGCCTACGCACCAGTCATGTAAGTCGAATGATTGTGCTGCGAGGGGTTTGAAACTTTTTGTAAAAAAATGAAACTGTATTACCAAGTACAACCTCTGTCCGACTTCAATTGTCGTCATTTTTTCAACTTGGTTTAAAAATCGCACGATTTTGTCCTGGCACTGTGATTGGCTAAAACAGAATGTACTGAACATTTGGAATCGATTGGCGATCGAATGCCAGGCGTAGGCGGGATATGAGAGGAGAAAGACCAATTTCAAATTTTCCCGCCCTGCACACTTGATCTGAGTATACTCCTGCATGACGTTCCGCAGTCTCCTGGAGTCGGAGAAGATAGCGATCTATGCTGTTCTACTACATCACAGCACGAACGGTAAACTTCGTTACGGCGACTTAAAGCAGCAAGCTAGCCTCTACAACGTTGCCGAGCGAACCATCCAGCGTGTGTGGGTACAAGGGCAAGCAAATCGTTCGTTCAAGTCACCTCCGTCGCGAATGCGCAAGCCAGCCGACGTCTTGTTGCTACAAGAACGGGTGTCAAAGCTGCCCCCAACAAAGAACATGGATCTACGCACCATGTCGGAAGCGCTTCACGTTCCGAAGTCGACGCTGCACGATGCATTTGTTGCCGGTGTACTCGTCCGCAAGCACTCGTCGTTGAAGCCCATGCTGACCGACGCCAACAAGGAAGCACGCAAACGTTACGCGCTCTCGTTCACCCACGTAGTCGACGGCACGATCACGTTTGATTCGATGATGGATCGCGTCTTCTTGGA